GCTTTTTCGAAGATTCACAAAAATACCTTCTCAGTCCCAATCATGTCTAAGTTACATTTTCGGGGTTAATTATGTATAAGACACATTGTTTGTCACAGTTTAAGTCGCAATTACCTCACAGCCATACTTTTCACACCCAATAATGTCTAAGACACTTTCTAAACTATAACTCTTGAGACAAAACTATTTTGTAAGGCTTAATTATGTCTAACACATTTAGTCACAAGCAAAAGTCACAAATATGTCTGAGCCCGTTTTTTTAAGAAAAAATATGCTTTCTAATTCTTAAATTAGAAGTCACAATAATTTCTAAGTCACATTTTTCTAGTTCAATTTTGTTAAAGAGTTTGATAATGTTCAAGACAGATTGTAAGTCACGATGTTTGTTTCAAAAAGATTCCATTTCAATGTTTTTTTCCTGTTAAGATTAAAATTTCCCTCCATATTTTCTTCTAGTAGTGCATGCTTAGAAAAGTAACTTAGAGTCCATTAACTTCTAATTTGAGGCCAATTAACTATTTGCTATTTCCAGCAAACTGTTAAGAAGTTTGGCAATTTGGATATTCCTGAGTCATTTTGTTCCAAAAAGGATGGAGGGAGGGGGGTAATGCATCTATTTCCTCTTTTGCCAAAACTTGCCCTTTCCTTAAAAGCATCAAAAATGATTTTTGACCAGAAAAATGAAGGATTTCTTTCATCCTGTTTTACACCCGATGAGGAAATATTTGTGGTGTTAAATCCATCCGAAAAGGAGAGGGAAAAGAACAAGAAAAGGAGAGGGAAAAGGACAGGAAAGGAGAGGGAAAAGCAATGCTTCCTAATTCTTGGTTTATTAAGTCACAGTTTGACTGGAAAGGTCTGTTGCTTTTGATGCTCTCAAATGTTGATGTCGATGCTTTCAAATTACACTTTTGATGTTTTACTACAGGGCCAAAGCATCCAAAGTGTTGAAATTGAAAGACAGAATGTGTTTTACATTTATTAAATTTCACACACAAAATATTAATAGATATTATAATTGTGTAGGAAAGGAGTCAAAATCTTAATGTTATTAAATATTAATATTGAATATACAAACATTTATTGGAATTTTAAATGTTTATTATTAAAATATCAAATTTTAGACTAAGCTATTTTGAAAAAATCTTTTATAAGATTTAAAATAGTTGAAACATTTTCAGGAATACATTCATATTTCAATTATATACAATGAGATTGAATTGATTGTATTGTTATAGTGTGTTGGGTGGAATTAAGCACAGAGATTGAAATTGGTTCAAATCCTAAACAAAACATGTATGACAACAATGAAATTAGTCTATGGATGAACAACAAATTGATTGGACACAATTTGCGTCACCAGATGGCATAATGCGTCAGGTTTAATGATTACTGCAAGTTTATCAATATTTAGGAAACCGCAAACTGGAATTCATTCACTTTTTACCCTATCATCCATCCTTCTTAGTGTTTTTTATGTATGTGCAATGGTGAATGGGCATGATACATTGCACATTTTCTATAAATTAAAGCTCTTCGCTCATATATATATATGTTGGCTATAGCTGGCCAAACGGCTGGACCAAATTGGCTGAAATTTTGCGAGGAAACCTATTGGTGGGCGGGGGTGATATTGGCTAAAAAAACAGTTTTTTCTTCTTCAAAATTCGAAATTTCGATTTTTCCCAAAGTAGCTAGTTATAGTTAACATAACCATAATATAACTTTACACATTATTTTCATAATTTTCTTATATTACACTGTTAGGAACAATGCGTGTGTTCTTGTAGTCCAGGAATGGTTCGATGTTATTGTAGTATTTATTTAATGTGATTCGTACTCAAACCTAAACCATTGGCCTAACACCCTCCCTTCCCTTTCTTTCTTATTGAATTATATCACCTCGTTGCATAATCTAACCTCTATAATCAGTTTAACTCTGGGTGGTATGCAAGTATATGCAAGAACTGCATAATCATGAATCCATGAGATGAAGAACATGGGGCACCCTGGAGCTATGGGGAACATGCATCCGTTCTACATTTGTCATGATCGAAGGAGAAACCAGGGAACAGAATAAACCTTGCAGATTTAGTAAACTCATTTCTGCCAGTGGGTACTGTACGCACCGTTTTAAACTGTACGCTGTACAGTTTTTGCCATTATTTACTGTACGCAGTACAGTGCTTACCATTCTTCACTGTACAGTGTACAATGTACAACACTCATTTTTGTAAACTACATAGGTCTCAATACTGAACTCTACACCGTACACTGTTAAAAACTCAATAATCTACTCTGTATAGCATTTAATATTCTGCTCTGTACAGAACTTAATACTCTGCTCTGTACATCACTTAATACTCTGCTCTGTACATCACTTAATGCTCTGCTCTGTACAGCTCTTAATACGCTGCTCTTTATAGCACTTAATACTCTGCACTGTACAACTCTTAATACTCTGCAGCACTTAGTGCGCTGCCCTGTACACCATTTGATATTGTATACAAACATTTGATATTGTATACTGAAAACTATACAGATCTTACAACTCTGCACTCAATACTCTGGTCTGTACACTATACAGCTCTCAATACTCTGCCCTGTACAATAGACAGCTCTCAGTACTCTGCACGATACAGTACTCTGCTCGATACAGTACTCAGTACTCTGCTCTGTACATTATTAAATACTCTACACCGTACACTTAAACATCTAAATATTTTATTTTATGGATTTTAAGGATTAGATTAACAGAAAAATTTAATGGACTGAAGAATGTGACGAACTTTTGGCTCATTTTGTAATGAGTGTAATTGTAATTGGTTTAATGAAAATATCATATATGCTCTACCCTTTTTTCTCATTAATCAGCTAGGTACTAAGCTCCTAACAGAAAAATAAACACGACAGAAACATTTTAATTTTCATGGTGTGTTCAATATCGTGTTTGGATTTTTTGGTGCACTGTTTTCTGTTTTCTAAACATCTGACTTTCGTAAATATCTCTCTGATTGGTTTAAAATCTTTCAATTAACTCCCCCCTCTCCCACTCATTTAATGATTCAGTAACACTAGAAATATTTATTTTAATTACATATAATTACATTTAATTATGTTTAATTATATTCTTAATTCACATCACAGCCATGTAATTATACAGTTTCAAGTAATATTATTACAATAATTAAACGAATAAAAATGAAAATATGTAATCATCAATTCATTGTTCATTGTTTTCTTGTCAAATTTAAATCATAATCATTTAATCTTTCAAATTGTGGTTTTCATTGCTAACATTCAAATTGTCCTTTTGAAAGTGGTTTAGATAGATTAATAGAGAGGAATCCAGGGATCAGAATACTAGGATCCTATCCAGGGATCCGAATAATAAGAATCCTAATGCATTGATCAGAATAGTAGGATCCGAATACAATGTTCGGAAGAGAAGGCTCGGAACTAAATTAATTTCCTGAAACGCGTGCCTATTCTCTGGATATATAGAAATATCGAGATTTAAACTTGGAACAAATTCTAACTTGGCTCTCAAGCGGATATGGCTGTCACTAAGAAATCTTTATATATGTATTCCTGGTTCAAGACTTAAAAATTCAAGAACTCGAGAACTAGAGAATCTAAGAGCTTGAGAATTTGAGAACATAAAAACTCAGAAACTCAAGAACCCGAGAACTCAAGACGATGATAACTCAAGAATTCGAAATTTTTTAGAAAGTGATAATTCGAGAATTCTTGAACTTGAGAACTCGAGAACTCGAGAACATAAACTCAAGAAATTTCTGTAACTTTATGCTTGTAAACTCCAAAATCTTCAAAACTTGTAAACATTACCACTTAATATATCGAGAACTTGTAAACATTACCACTTAATATATCGAGAACTTGTAAACATTACCACTTAATATATCGAAAATACTATACAGGGGGGTTCAATACTATACAGGGGAGTTCGATACTAAACAGGGGAGTTCAATACTATACTCATAATATTTATATCTGTATGAAAACTGCATTATATATGTATTGTATATGCCAGTGCTGAACTCTAACTTATGTTTGGAGATGGAATTAGTAATAAAGATAATTCTGTAATTTATCCGCTCAGAGAGTATAAAGGATTTAAGATTGACATCGACACAATCTGATCTCCGCAATTTTTAATTATACATTTTAATCTTAAATGCAATACTTTAAAGGGACTGTAAGCGTAATTTTGAGTAACCCTCCATGCAAAGATGGCAAAGCCCGATTCACAACAGCACTCTTAAAAATCTTTGTCAGATCAAGCATAAATTGTACATCTGATTATTTTTAACTGTAATTCTATACAAAAGTGATAGCATTTCTACAACACAAAAAACATATATAAATTATTAGATTCAAAAACTGTTAAGCCTAGAAAAACGACAATATCTTTCACATTATTCATCAGATCAAGGTTTTAAGGGTACTGTTATGAATCTGGCATTGCCATCTTTGCACGGGGGGTTCATTTGATATTACGTTTACAGTCCCTTTAAGATATTTAATCAAACTATGAATAGAATACAATTAAAGAAACAGTATAAAAGGATACAACTCTCTCTCTGTAAACTCTATTCTTCTCTATCCTCTCTGTAACCTATACAATATACAATCTATGGCATTAATACTGCAACTTAAACCCTAGTTGATCAATAGAGATAAACTGCATTGATAAACAGGAACAGGACGGAGTTTAATAAATCCCCACCAGGGACAATGCTTATATTTATATATATATATTGAAATACAACTTGCGTTAAGTATCCTGCAAGGATCCAACAGAACTAATCTTTTAGAACAGTGAGTTCTCAGCTCTGTATTAAGCATGTGGTTTCTCCAAGTACTCCTCAAACCTTAGTTTTAATTGTGAATTCATGCCTAAACCTTGAAATAATGTTTGGTTTTGCAGAAAATAAAATCAATTTACATATCAGGGTCTCTTGGGTCGGTAGTAAAGTACAAATATCGTATTTCTAAACATACCTTTTTGGCTGGTTGTCTCTCCTTGCAACGGTTATCCGAACCGTCCCAACCTTGATATTCTTGAATATTGAGATTGCTTCTCCATGAGATAAACCCTGGACGGATAATCCGTTCACATTCAATATCTCGTCTCCTGCAATAATAATATTTATACTCTCTAACACTACAGAAGGAAGAATATTAATCCAAGACGTTCAGTTCCAGATGCAATGGTAAGATACTGCAAGGTGTTTAATTCTAAATTGTCTTTAAATACTAAGTAATGAGTGACAAGTAATTGGAATTGAGTCTTTGTCCCAAACCCTGATTTTCTAATCCCAATATCTTAGACATTAGATATTTCAAATTTTCAAATTATAAATTATATAAGCTCTGATAACCAAAGTTTGAAATATTATTTTTATGTTTACACCATCAGGTTTGGTTTAAAAAATATGTGTATTAGGAAATGTGAGTTTCTGACAAAGACTCTATTTCTTAGCATTGAATTGATAAAAAAAAATGACAGAGCCAGTATTGAAGAAATTTAAAAGGCAGATTTTAAAAAGGTTTTAGTCTGAAAGATTATGTTTGATTTATTCAAATTCCCGTTTTTAAAGAGTTAAGGAGATATTCCCATGGCTGACATAATCTACTGTTATGCAGAAAGGGAGGGACAGGGTTGAATCCCGTAGTATATAAACACTACAGATTGACAAGTAACTAGTCTCTGCAATGTTAATATGATCCTTCTCCTAATATGTCGCGCAACTATTGTTAAAATCATTCTTGAATAATTCAGCATATACGTCCGTGTAGAAATATAATTCATCAAGTGACAAATATGATTCATCATTCAACATTATTCATCGTTAACTAATCAAGCATTTGTAGACAAGAACCTAAGAGGGATAGAACACAGAAATGGATGGATAGAACACAGTAAAGGATGGATAGAACACAGTAAAGGATGGATATAACACAGTAAAGGAGGGATAGAACACAGAAAAGGATGGATAGAACACAGTAAAGGATGGATAGAGCACAGTAAAGGATGGATATAACACAGTTAAGGATGGATAGAACACAGTAAAGGATGGATATAACACAGTAAAGGATGGATAGAACACAGCAAAGGATGGATAGAACCCAGCAAAGGATGGATAGAACAGAGTGAAGGATGGATAGAACACAGTAAAGGATGGATAGAACACAGTAAATGATGGATAGAACACAGCAAAGGATGGATAGAACACAGTAAATGATGGATAGAACAGAGTGAAGAATGGATAGAACACAGTAAAGGATGGATAGAACACAGCAAAGAATGGATAGAACACAGTAAAGGATGGATAGAACACAGCAAAGGATGGATAGAACACAGCAAAGAATGGATAGAACACAGTAAAGGATGGATAGAACACAGTAAATGATGGATAGAACACAGTAAATGATGGATAGAACACAGTCAAGGATGGATAGAATACATTAAATGATGGATAGAACACAGTAAAGAATGGATAGAACACAGTAAAGGATGGATAGAAAACAGCAAAGAATGGATAGAACACAGTAAAGGATGGATAGAAAACAGCAAAGAATGGATAGAAAACAGAAAAGGATGGATAGAACACAGCAAAGGATGGATAGAACACAGTAAAGAATGGATAGAACACAGCAAAAGATGTATAGAACACATTAAATGATGGATAGAACACAGTAAAGGATGGATAGAACACAGTAAAAGATGGATAGAACACATCAAATGATGGACAGAACACAGTAAATGATGGATAGAACACAGTAAATGATGGATAGAACACAGTAAATGATGGATAGAACGACAGTAAATGATGGATAGAACACAGTCAAGGATGGATAGAATACATTAAATGATGGATAGAACACAGTAAAGAATGGATAGAACACAGTAAAGGATGGATAGAAAACAGCAAAGAATGGATAGAACACAGTAAAGGATGGATAGAAAACAGCAAAGAATGGATAGAAAACAGAAAAGGATGGATAGAACACAGCAAAGGATGGATAGAACACAGTAAAGAATGGATAGAACACAGCAAAAGATGTATAGAACACATTAAATGATGGATAGAACACAGTAAAGGATGGATAGAACACAGTAAAAGATGGATAGAACACATCAAATGATGGACAGAACACAGTAAATGATGGATAGAACACAGTAAATGATGGATAGAACACAGTAAATGATGGATAGAACACAGTAAATGATGGATAGAACACAGTAAATGATGGATAGACCACATTAAATGATGGATAGAGCACAGTAAATGATGGATAGACCACAATAAAGGATGGATAGTAAATGATGGATAGAACACAGTAAATGATGGATAGAACACAGTAAATGATGGATAGAACACAGTAAATGATGGATAGAACACAGCAAAGAATGGATAGAACACAGCAAAAGATGGATAGAACACTGTGAAGATCAGAGTTAAAACAGAATTTAATAATAATATTAAATATTGATGTTGAAGATCGCCGCTACAACTTTTATCCCTACATATCCAGGCCTTTATTTTTTCAATACGTGTAGTACGCATGTTATACTTTTAATAAAGCTTAGTCAACTGAAATGTTCTTTGATATCAAAAAAGATCTATTTCAAATTTGAATATTGATTAACCAAGAAAAATGTTGTTTAAATCCTCTAAAGTTTAAGCAAGGTTTATAATTCAAGCTTGAGTGGATTAGAGAGGTTTACAATCTTTAAAAAGCAGAGATGATAAAAAGCAAAATAAAAGCAATATAGCACAAAATTTATGCAAAATAATTGGTGCTACGACATTTACTCTATTGGCCATCGGCTCTTTATTCTTGTGGAGCACGACGTTTGCTCTGCACGGCATTTTCTCAATATATGTACCATCTACTCTATGAAAAGGCAACGGGCCTAGCGCTGCGGATAGGATAGGTTAGGGGGTCAGTTAATACTTATAAAGCAAATGTCGTTTAAAGCAAATGGTATGCAGAGCAAATGGTTTATAGAGTGCATGACGTGACAGAGCAAATGGCAATTTATAGAGCAGATTAAAATTAAGAACCAAGAGAAAAGAGCATTGGAGCTTCTCAAATAAACCTGTTTATAATAGTTTGATAACTAGTATGAGAACCTGGGAATCTAGCAACATTAAATCAAATCTTCATCACTATGATTGGACATGGATAAATAAGATGAGAAAATAATTGATTTTTCAAGTTGAAGAACGCAGCAGAGATACAATAGATTGTAGTCACGATGCTACCATATTTCTAGTATGGACTGTAGGACACAGTATTAAATGTCAAGAGCCCATGTTTCTATTTCTGATTCTGTTCCTGTGTACTGTTTAATATTCAATTCTTATGTCATGCTGTCAGATGATTGATGCCAATTGAAGTGAGATGAAGTTTTAGGATTTACATAAATTCTATCTATTTATTGACATGTTATTTACCTTCACGTAGGGATCCATTATCTCTTGCTTGTCCTACCGGGAAAATTGTTTTTACAAATATTCCCATTGAACCCTTCGGAGAATCTATTCCTCCCACCACGCTGAATCCTAAACCTTTTTTTCCAGGTCCTTTATCGAACTCTGCTAGATATACGGTCATAGACAGAGATTTAGGTCTTCTTGCAATCCTTAGCACGGTTCCAGTTCTGGAGACACTAGCTCGTCTTTGCTCCCAGTCCTGACGAGGGGTGGGAGTAGTAGGAACACTGCTTACTCTGTAGGGAGCATTTTCGCTTGTATAAGATGAGATTACGGAGGATGTATCGTCCTCATGTCCTATATTAGAGTAGGACTGGGCCGGGGTCACGGACGGAGTATCAACAGTTGAAATAGGTCCTCCTCGATACTGTTCTATCTTCTCCGTCCTGTCACTTATTCTAATCACAGTCTTCATGGATCCGTCTTGGTACGCGAAATCGCAAACGTCGTGTACGTTACCATGTATCCCGGAGAGCTGGGAAAATTCTAGCTGGCTAGCGTATATTGGAGCTGACCTGGGACGTTCTATCATTGGCAGCTTGCGCCTCTTCCTTCTCTCTACTGGCGCATTACCCGGAGTTTTATCCTTCTCAGGATCACGAGCTATGATTATATCAACCTCTCCTTGGCAGTAGCGTAATAGGTTTCTAGCTTCTTCCATAGATAATCCCCGTAGACTGGATCCGTTTACGTTTACTATCTCATCTCCCAGAGAAAACCGACCGTCTCTGAAATATATGCATTTATGAAATTAAATGAAAATTTACAAGAAATTTCACATAACTCTGGATCATGTCACCACAACTCTAAGATAATTATGTAGAAAATTACGTTTACTTACTTGTTGACGAGACCATCTGGCTCTATATGCGCGATAATATATCCTGTTGTACCCTTACTCGGGTTCCGTTTCTTCGATATAATTATTCCAAGCTCATCAGACTCCTTCTTCAATACTCGGAGCATCTTGAAGCTTTTGCTTGTAAGGGAGGGGAGGGTTGTGGGGATATTATCCGTAAAGTTTATGGGTAAAGGAGGGGTAGGTTTGACTAGATGGGAATAGGAGAAAGGTTCCTTAACAGGTTCAGACTGATTCTCAGACTCGGTTTGACAAGATATTTCTGTTTTATGGGGTTCCTCCTTACTTTTCCGAGGCGGCTTCTTCATTTTTGGTTTCGGTTGGACTATAGAGGTAACTACGGGGAACTCGTCGGAGGTCGGGCTCGGTTCAGGTTTAAGATGACTATCACAAGTTGAAGAATCGGTTTCGCTGGGATCAAAAGAATCACTTTTCACGGATCCACGAGGAGACGAACCACTCTTCCTGGTTGTGTCGGAATCATATCCACTCTCCTCCGATTTAGTTTTTGAAAACTTCTTATGATGGAGACTAGTTTCTCCAGTTCTGAACTGCAGAGGAACTTGAACTTGAGAGCTGTGAATGTCCGCCAAGGATTGACTTTTCTTTCTCCGAAGGGTTCCAGAGTTTCCAGGTTTGATATCTGAGTTCAGGGACTGAGGACCTTCATCTCCAACATGATCTCCAGCTCCAGGTCTCTGGTTCCTATTGTTCCTTGTTAGTGTACCCTGCTCTTCAGGTAGGGAGGCAAGCTTACTCCTTGAGAAGGTGTGAGAAAAGCCTGACCTCAGGAAGGATGACATCTCCTGAGGTATATTGTCTATACTGATTGACTTAGAAATGATAGTTGAATGCTTTCCATCTGTCGAATCAATGAGACTAAGCTGAGAAACAGAATCTAGATCGAAACTATCACAGCTAACATTGAACCTACTAGAGGTTCGATCAAAGAGATCATCCTCACTCCCAGGGATAAAGTCTAGATCCGTCCCGATAGATTTGTCCACCTTGGACACAGAGTTTCGTCCAAACCTATATTTTCTCTTGTCGAATAATCGTTTTGAATCTAGGTGGGATGGACCAAGGAGAAGACGACGGAGAGATTCTACTCTTGAAACTCGTCTTCTGATCTCAGTATTAGATTTTTCCTCTGAGTTCTGGAGCTGAGTATGGTTTCTCCTCTCCTCTGGAACCTCGAGAGGTGGGTTCACGGAGTACTCCAGCTTATCCTTTATTAAAACCAATCATATGTCTTATAAGCCTAATGGTTGAAAAGAGAGAGTATACTTATTTATACAGAGTAATGATACAAATTTTACCAAAATAAAGACGTAAAAACCAAAATTACAATAATGCTGTGAAGAAGAATCAAATTAGGATAACAATTACTAAATTTAAAGAACATTAGTCAATATTTATCAAAATTATAAAAAAGTTGATGGATTGACTTTTTCCTCTGAATTTCCCGGAGCAAGTCTCCGTCCTACTCTGCGACCCCAGGACGACAAACCTGAAATGTTAAACCAAAATTATGTAAACAATTATATTCTCTTACTCCTCTAAACTATATTCGTCTATATCTGTATTCATTCGATGAATAGCTCTCCTATTTTTAAATATCTACAAAGAACTAAACATCTGGATATTCATAAACTTTAGAATATATTTACTATAGTTGTCGGTCTATATGCCCCATATTTAAACCAATAATGCATAAAATCGTATTCTTTGCATACATTATCCCAGGTTTAGCCTTGAGTCTGACAAATGAGTTCAGACGTTTTGTCATTTTATTCAATCTTCTCGTGACGGATTTAAATGATGAATCCTGGAAGGGTTGAACTGGTGTGTTTCCTTCTCTACTCCGGGTGCATATTGTATTACTTCTTTATTTCCGTTCTTTATATCCTCATCCTTGGATTTGTCACGTTCTTGCAATTCCTCGTCAGATTTATCAAGTTTTCAAATTTAAGGTTTATCTCTCATCTCTAGATAACCTTTCCTGATCAAACAGAGATAAATCAGCGAGTAATGGACACATTCTTTATTTAACTGTACACTGTACAAGCACAGAGAAAACCGTACAGCGTAATTTACTGTACTGTACTGTAAATGAACAGAACAGTTAACGAACCATAAAAATTGTCCAGTATACGCCATAGTAATGCAATGGATTTTAACCATTGCATAACAAAGATCCTTGCCATTGTTTAATGATTGATAATAAACAACAACAAAAACATTGAAAACTAAAAGTAAACATGTTTAAGTGAAACCTCAATCTGTTAATAGCGTAAAGATGAAGATATCTATCTACTTGAAAGGAGTAAAATGCGCATTCAATTTTATTGCAGAAAACGTTTGCAATTTTACTGCCTGCATTTAGGTTTGCAATATTACCCTTTAACCTGGCAGGTCTTCGTAGAGACTAAACACTAGTACTTTAACAATATATTCTCCTTGATACTGTAGGTTCAGAGTCCGGGGTTAAACATTAAAAACATTAAATTGTTTAAATTGTTCATGTGCTTACTTATACAAACTAGATATTTCCGAGTAAACCTGGCTTGAGGCCAACATCCATAGAGAATAGAATATATAGAGAGGAATTAAAAGAATCTATCGGTATGAATTTTTTCAGTCCCTTTCAGCCTGAAAGGGAGTTCAAAGTGTACAAATCATGTAAATGTTCACAAATTATATGCAGTAGAGTACATTAATACAGTATGTTTCCTAGACTATCCATTTCAATTTCGAATTTTTTAAACTGTTAAATAAACTTTATAATGAATGGTGAATAAAAACATAAATTGATTTATAGTTATAACGGAAAATCATTGTTTGTAAAGTGGAAGGCATAGAGTCTATGTGAAATGATCATTGGTCAATTATGAAACCAGCCTATTTCTTAATTTGGTTTTCTTATAACAATAATTTTAGATTTTCTATAAAATGATATTCCAGGGCCCAACAGGTTTTATAGCATAAATATGTGAAGTACACCTGCAGTATGGAAACAGTACAACAAAATGGCCGTTTTACACTTTTTTCTAGTAAATTCCTCTCTATATATTCTATTCTCTATGCCAACAACCTTTTGGAACTTGACTGAGAAATATTTGTATTGTAAATTTAAACTTTTTGACTCCACATTGACTCCATAAGTTGATTTCTTCTTTGAGCCATATTTAGGAGTAAAAGGGTGACATATAAAATGTTATGATAGTAAAATATTCGTCTGTCATTGCTTATCTTGAAACCATCTTAGTTTCAATTGGTGTTTGTTTGAGAGTCAGAGTAGGGTTGGGTTTAATCTGTTGGTTAACATATCAGCTTGTCGGGTTAATAGTTCGTCAGATTGTTAGTTTGTCAGCTCATCAGGTCATCAGCTCAACAGTTCCTCAGCTCATCAGTTTATCAGCTCAACAGTTCATCAGTTCATCAGTTCATCAGCTCATCAGTCTACAGTTTATCAGCTCAACAGTTCATCAGGTCATCAGCTCAACAGTTTATCAGCTCAACAGTTCATCAGCTTATCAGTTTATCAGCTCAACAGTTCATCAGGTCATCAGCTCAACAGTTCATCAGTTCATCAGCTCAACAGTTCATCAGCTCATCTACCCGTTAAGGAATAGAGTCCATGCTACAAACTCTGATTTTCAAATTACAGTGTCTTTACAACCAAATGTCAAAGACACTAGATATTTCAAACTATGAATCCAGTTAGATCAAATAATCTATGTTTGAAATATGAACGGTCTACGCCATCAGGTTGCAAAGACAAAGGTATTAGAAAATTTGAATTTGTGGCATGCAATTATTCAATTTCTTTGTCAGCTCTCTTCGTCCTGTTTGATCATGGTTCTGAATTAATCTCCATGTGTTCATTAAATCTATCTCAGGAGGAATTAGAGATTACATTCTTGGTTTAATTTGATCAGCTCATCAAATCTTGAATATATACTCAGATCTAGAATATCTCACAACAGGTTGATACATAGACAATATAAGATACATATTGATAGATAGATAGATATGGAGGAACAAACAAACCTTGATTCAACAATTCTGTGGTTTGAACCAACGACGTAATATGTCGAATTTAGACATAGTGTAAAATAGTTCAAGAAAAGACATTTAGGCTTTTTGTTGTAATTTTTCATTTTTTCTTTTTTAATCTTTAACGAAACTTTTTAAAAATTATATTTTTAATACATTTATCCAATAAATTTTCAATACAAGTTTATGTCTCTAGTATCTATGTAAAGCAGTTGATGTGTGTTCTCTAGTATCTACGTAGAGAGGTTGACTTGTGTTCTCTAGTATCTATGTAAAGCAGTTGATGTGTGTTCTCTAGTTTCTATGTAAAGCAGTTGATGTGTGTTCTCTAGTATCTACGTAGAGAGCTTGACGTGTGTTCTCTAGTATCTATGTAAAGCAGTTGATGTGTGTTCTCTAGTATCTACGTGACGAAGTTGATGTGTGTTCTCTAGTATATACGTAGAGAATTTGATACTTTTTTCTAGTATCTACGTAGAACAGTTGATATGTGTTCACTACTATCTATGTAGAGAAGTTGGCGTGTGTTCCCAGTATCAACGTAGAGAAGTTGGCGTGTGTTCTCTAGTATCTACCCGAAGAAGTTGATGTGTGTTCTGTAGTATCTATAAAAGCCGTTGATGTGTGTTCTCTAGCATCTACAAACCAGATGATGTGTGTTCTTTAGTATCTACAAAAGCAGTTGATGTGTGTTCTCTAGTATCTACAAAAGCAGTTGATGTTAGTATCTACAAAAGCAGTTGTGTTCTCTAGTATGTATCTACTGAAGCATTTGATGTGTGTTCTCTAGTATGTATCTACTGAAGCAGTTGATGTGTGTTCTCTAGTATGTATCTACTGAAGCAGTTGATGTGTGTTCTCTAGTATGTATCTACTGAAGCAGTTGATGTGTGTTCTCTAGTATGTATCTACTGAAGCAGTTGATGTGTGTTCTCTAGTATGTATCTACTGAAGCAGTTGATGTGTGTTCTCTAGTATCTACAAAAGTAGATGATGTGTGTTCTCTAGTATGTATCTACTAAAGTAGTGTAGTAAAGTTAAGTGTAGTGTATTCTCTAGAATCTACAAAAGCAGTTGATGTGTGTTCTCTAGAATCTACTAAAGTAGATGATGTGTATTTGCCTCTGGGAAAATATGTGGGACGATATTCAATTATAATAAGAACTGTTTTTATTTAATCAAATCAATATTTTTAAATCTAGACAAAACATTCATTCATTAGCTCCAAGGTATATCATAGCTTAGATCATTTTTATATGGACTAATAGAAACAGAATTTTGCATCAATCCCAACAATAAAAATATTAAGCTTTGTATTCAACGTTGAGCACTTTTTAAACCGTTATAACAGTATAAAATATGAGTCCCTTTAATATGCTTAGCCCAGCTGTATTGAATGCGAAGGGCGGGGTTCTAGGATTTGATGTGACAATGAATACAAGTCACCTTTTTGCTTTTCAACCATTTTGATTGTTTGTCCGATATCTTAAAAAGAACAAGGCGTGACACTAGAAATTAATTTGAATGATCCCCTTCCCTCATCTTTACTTCTACTCCTCCTCTCTTGAACTCCACCCTCACCTGTTCCTCACTTCACTTCATAAGCTCCCGTTTTTTAATAAATAATGATTTATAAAATTATGGAAATGTTATTTTGACAAATTTTTCCTAGTTTCCGATTTTTTTCTGCAATTTTCTGCACTCCTGTCACTTTATGTATTCCTTCTTTCCTATCTTTTTGGCTTCTTTTTAATTCTCTTTCTCCTTCTTTATTACTTTAGTTCTCTCTCTCAATTCCCTTTCTTTTCCTTTTTCATTCCAATTTCGTTCTCCTCTCTTCTTTTTAATTCCCTTTCTCTTGCCCCTTCCTCTCTATATTCCGTAATTTCGTCTCGTGCGCAGATTTTGTACGTTTTAAAAGAATTGAATTATTGCAATAATGATTTTCAGAAGAGAAAAACATGTAATTGTTTTGTAATCAACACAATGTAATATTTCAAAGTTTAATAGCTAGTCTCCGCTCATGCTTGTCCGTCAGAAAGATAAAAGAAAGGAAGCTGTACACTGTACACTGTACAGTGTACAGGACAGCTAGGGCCCGGACACCAAATTTTTCAGGGTAGCTAGGGCTCGGATACCAGACTGTACAGGGTTGCTAGGGCCCGGGTACCAGACTGTAAGGGGTTGCTAAGGCCCGGATACAAGACTATTCAGGGTTGCTAGGACCCGGATACCAAACTGTACAGGGTTGCTAGGGCCCGGATACCAAACTGTACAGGTTTGCTTGGGCCCAGATTCCAGACTTTACAGGGTTGCTAGGGCCCGGATACCAGACTATACAAAGTTGCCAGGGCCCGGATGCCAGACTGTGCAGGGTTGCTAGGGCCCGGATGCCAAACTTACAGGGCTGCTAAGGCCCGGATACCAGACTATACAGGGTTGCTAGGGCCT